ATCCGATCAGTGAAATTTCACCGACCGGGTGAGATTCGAACCCGCGTCTCACGCCTGATAGTGAAGCGAGTTCAATACAGGTACGCGGTCGACTGGGTCGCGCGACTACAGACCTTGTCCTCGGCCATGGCTAGCGACAGCTAAACATGAGAAGAGCATTGCGGAAGGCTCACCAGTGATGGCGGCTCCGCCATCTGCCCACGTCGTGGTCGCTCGCCGTCACCGTTCTGCAGCACGAGGGGGAACGGTCTGACAGCGGTCACGGCCGACCCGGATCGAAACAGCAGCACAGCGGGCTGCTGACCGGCTCTGCTGGGCGAGGTCGGACGCTCCTGATCTGGTGCGTGAACACCACGTAGGCGTCAGCCGAACACGAGTCATACTGGAGCTTCGTTTTACGGAAGGACTGAGGAAGCGCGCTGGTGTTGCGGATGGAATTATGGTCCGGATTATCGCTCTCGTCTGGTGGGGGTCGGCCAGGCTTGCTCTCCAGTTGACGTCAGATGTTATGGACTCCTGAGAAGGACTGGGCGAATGATTGATGCTCGGCTGTCAATGACGTGTGCTACGCAATGGGAATAATCTCCATGAAGTTGAAGGGATTAGAGCCAGGATCCTCTTCATGGCGAGTCCACTGTTTTACTAACTGAGGTTCCCGGCAAGGACACACGATGTCCTTATTCAGGGGTTGTTCAGAAAAAGTTCATGTCACATGCTTGCTACTACTAGCCAAACACGTTTGAGCTAGAAAGAAAGAAAAAACTTAGCAATACCGCACTAAGCGTTGTTTTGACGTGGCTGACCTGGCTGCCAGAAGTCCCTCGTGCAGAACAGACATCAGCGCGAGGCCGCAGCAGGCTACCACTAGCTTCCAGCTGCGGTCCACCGCCAGGGTTGACAGCCACAGATGGAAGGTGCCGTTCCCGGTGATCATGTCCTGAGGCAGCGAGGCCAGGGACAGGTCGGACCAACAGAGTTTTGCGCTGGCAAAAGATATCAGAGGTACTGCCCGCTGCCTGTCCAACATGTTCGGTAATGTTGCACGGCATGTTTCATGTCCTTGTTTCCAGGAGGCGGTGGAATCTTCCGTAAAATACCTTTTACCATATCGTATACCAACGCACATTTTCCACGAAAACCCATGTGGACACTTAAAAGTCCCTCACCCAATCTTTTCAGATCGTGGAAACCACGTCCCACCACGTCAGTGTTCGTGCCAGCTCGGCCGACGGCTGATACCATCGGATTAACCAGTTTGCTACGCCTTTCACGGCGTTCTGCCGTGCATTCCGTAGACACAGGGCTGAATGGTTTGCTGCCCGTCAAAATGCAGCGTTGTTATTGCTCGGTGCCAAGTGCTTTGGAGCGCTTTCCCCGTGCTCGCAATTAAGTCTCTGAAGGCGAAGAGACGCATGATCTCTTTTCTCGGGGTGTTGGAATACCTGTGACGGAGTAAGCCTCCCGCGACTGAAGACAGGCATCCAGAGTCCGGCATCAACTAACCTGCCGGCAGTCGGCGATTTTGGTGGCCAAGTTCTGGTCGTCTACCCATGGCAGCTAGTCTTCTGTAAACGATTAGCAACAACGGCTCCCGCCCAGATATGCAGTATTCCAGGTGTAGGGAGAACACCATGTAATGACGGCCCCAGCAACATGGTTGATATCAGTCATGTGGATGTCACATGCGCGACCTCTGCCATGCCAGAACTTTGATCTGAGACAGTCCAACCTAAGATAGTTGGAAACTCAAGGAAATACCCCGAGAACGGAAGAGCAAAAAGTCCGAGTTCTCTCCCTTCCTTTGTGCGCCACGTCCGCGGCCTACAACATCTTTTCTTAGCCACCTGGTCACGCTCGCCCGCCCGTTCCAGACAAGCGGCCTCAGCTGCGCCGGGCAGCACCAAGTAGAGGCGGGTAGACCGTGGAATTCCCGTCCAACACCAAGGCTACCTGACGCGACGTTCTTAGCGCCCCGTTATGATGACCATCCAGAACACCTTCTTTGAGACCTCTTCTCGCGCCCACCGTAATTAGGAAATGCCGATGGGACGCGATGCGTTCGTTCTTTCGCCGCAGATGGCGGTGGCCGATAATCGCTGCGTCAACTAAGACGATAGTAATCGACTAGCGATTTACTGAAATTCACCAGGGCTTTATGAGGGCAACATTGATGTTTCGTGTGAGCTAGCTTGCATTAATTGCATTAAGATATGCATACTACTTCTGTGGTCGATTTGCTTTGGTTACTTTTCTCAATCCGGCCACATGTGGTCTACTATGTGCTGCTGACATTCCAAAGCATCTATTATGGAGAGAAGCAAAGCTTATCGGTGATTGGAATTTCTTCTGCTGATGAATTCTGGCGGAATGACTTCCCGTAGCTGAAGCTTTCTCGTGCTACATGGTATTTCGAAGCCAGTGCAGCAGAGTCACGCCATCCGGGAAGAGCTATACTATTTCCAATTGATATAACACAGCATCCTTGAACCACGATACCCTATGCATGCCAAGAAAACAGCTTGCAAATGTCATCCCGTGGCAAGCAGAAGCTATCAATTTTTCGTGGCGTCATGTCGTTGATTTGCATTTTCCGCCTCAGTGTAAGGGCAGGCTGACATCAGGAACCGACCGGGCCGTGGTGCAGGCAACATACAACACGATTACAACGTTTGGTTATGGGAACTGTACATGCCGCAAGAGAGCACACTGTACATGATGTCAAACATATAACACGCAAGAGCATTTTGTTATGGGAATTGCGCATGTCGCAAGAGAGCACACTGTTCATGATGTCGTCATGTTGTTTAGTATACAAATCAAGCTCTTTGTAAAGCGGTCACACATGCGTGGGCGTCGCACAGCTAGGCTACAGTGCAGGTGCAGTTCGTAACTATTTTATGGAATGGTTCCTATCACATAGATCCTAGGCGCACGTAATGTCAAGTCATACAGCACCAAAATAAGCGCAAATTTACTGCATCAAATGAGTGTACCAAACAACAGGGTGTGCATTCGTTCACCAACAACAAACAGGCGTTTCCCAGTGTGCGCCACGTTTTGTCTCGGTGAGATGAACTCGTATAGCGTGCACTCATCTGACTTAGTTTAATGTGCGAACGGTAAAGTTCACAACCGGCTCTCGTTTGTATGGAACAACGTGATAGAGTAGTGATGGCGACGGCGACATGCGACGGCGCCATGGTCCGCCTGACCCGGGCGAGAATGATCTCTGATTATAGAACTCCATGTTTAGCGTCAACTTCTGGGTGCGTCGAGTTCTAGGTGCAGAAATGTATGAAACACCCGATTCAAAACCACGCCGAGGTATGTCAACAACGGTCAATCAAGGTGGCAAGAAATAGATGCACGCTGTTACAAAAGTCAGAACGTAACGGCACTCAGGCTAAACAACAACTGTGACTGCATCCGTTGTCGGCAACTTGGACCTGGTAAAACGTATTGCCGCAGGTTTTCTAAAGTCTGTTTATCTTTAGCGTCATGCAGTCGCGTTGGAAACCTAAACAGATACCAAACCAAGCAGAAGCAGTGGACCGTTTGGGGAGGGGGGGAGGGGAAGAGATTAAATGCGAACCATGTGACGCTTCTTTCCATGCAATGCCACAGACTCAAATTTATTGCATGCAGGGATAGAGACTGACTGACTCCCCATTTGCCCCTCCCCCTCCCCAGCCCCTCCCCCTCCCCCTGCATTTCCTTCGACAGTTTTCTAGTACACATCTAGTCGAAACGCGGAAAATACTGTCATTCCAATGCCGCTCGGTATCTTAGCCGCGGCAAGTCAAACCAAGCGGCATTTCTTGAAGCACAAATATGTTGAGATTAATCTGTTCATGTGCCATAGGACCAGACTCGCGTTTCTAGGCAGGTTTTCCCGGTAGCCCAGCTCATGCTGCTTTAGCTTGGTATGCGATGAATTCATGCCGAACTTTGAATGCCTCTTTTGCATTACCTTGCATACAATCTAGTGATGCAGGTGGGGTTTGCTTAATCTTCAGACACATGTATATATGGATGGAAAATGCTGCGTTGCAGGAACTGCAGCGATTATACTTTGTTGCATTCGAATTAACGCGATTTTGGTATTTCGTCATGAATTTTGTCGTTTTGCCGGCATGTTGTGAAAATTTTGTCGTTTGTCGGCATTTTGTCGAAGCGTTTTGATCCAGCTGCTCTGCCACACCAGCTTTTTCAGCATTTCCCACTTGCGAACAGAACAATATCTGCAAAGCCCAAATCAAAGCAAAGTTGAGTAATAGGCACAAGACTTAGCAGGCTGGATGACATGGGTGACGGGGTGGGTTGGGAACATATTTGGTAAATTTACGGACATGAGGACGGGTACGGGTAGGTAAGACCTCTATGAAATGTCCAGGCAAATACTCCCAGAAATATTACCCAGTTTTGCGTTTGCGCTCCCATCGGTCATTATTACCTACATCCACACTTGTTTTGCAATTACGAACGTAAAATAATAACTTTGGATGCAAACTTTCCTGGAACTTGTTCATAACCAATGCACTTGTAGCGCCGCCAAAATGCGCAGGCGTGGGTAGCGAATGGATGCAATTAATCGTGAAACGACAACGCGTGGATTTGAGCACAGTCCCACACGTAAAAGGAGGGCAAGATAAAAGAGACCTTAGCCGTGGAGACGTTTAGTAATAGGAAGTCAGCAGCAGTATCCATTTAAAGCACAGGACAGTTGGGATGCTCCTAAGATCTCGTTGTGCTTGTCTGGGAGATAAAGGGGACAGGATCTGATTCCGTGCAGTGTTCACCTTTCCCACCAGGTTGAGGGGCAAGCGACGCCAACAACATCAGCTCCTGACGCGCCATTGACGCGCATGCCAGACGCACCGGTTTTGTGTTCCCTGAATCGAGCCCAGAAAGAGGTGGGGGTGGGGGATGGGGGGGGGGGCGTCTCCAGACCCTGACTCAACTAATGGCATCGCCCGCATCACACTGAAAACCAACCTTACCAGCTATTCAAAGTTGCGCCGAGTCAACTGACGTCGGGCGAGCTCACAGCAAACGCGTTCGGTGTCCCTGGATCGTCCCGCTGGCATTCACCACCTCGCATTGATCCTCCGCCCCGCAGATCGGCCAGCGGAGACCCCTGACGAGCGTCGTCATCCGACCTCCGACGCCACAGCCTGTCGCCGGCACACTGCCGCCGGCCCCGCCTGCGGGGCACCGCGCCGTCCCCGCGGCATCTGTGGCCGCCACACGTGTGGATCGATCGTTCCAACTGTCGTTGATTCGTGGCTGATGGCGGTCAACGGTGGGTGTCCCCCAGCGGAGGGTACTACCCACTGACGCGGCCGACTGCTGCCGTGATCTTAAATGGCAGTTAGAGAGCCTCTTGCACCGGCTGGAGACCCCTGAAGCAGAGTGGTCCTCTATTCCGGCCAGAGATCACCAACACCGAACAGCCGGCTCTGTGTCGGTGTGAGCTCTGGGGCCCATGTCCCAAGCAGGGACGAGGCCGGGCCCGCGATCTTTATTGGTCGGGGCCCCTGCAACACTGCGGGGCTTCTGTATCGCTCAGGGGCCCTGCGTCAACAAGTGGTCTAAAGTCGGTCAGGAGAAGATCTGCTCAACAGGGACGGGGACGGGACCTCGAATGACAGAGGACCCTTCGCGTTGGTGGGTGCTCTCTGACAATGAAAGTAAACAATATAACTTATGATGAGTGTTCACATTGAGGTAATGGAAGGGTCCTATGTTAGTCAGGGCCCCCCATTACCGAACTGTGGGCCCTCCAACCAAATTCCAGCATGGGCACGTTAAGCCGAACTAGAGTCTATGTGTCAATTATTAGACCACCTGCGGCTATCAGGGATGCTGTTGCGGCATGGGGGTTCCTGCGTCAATATTGGCTCCACTGCGCCAGTCAAAAGACCACCCGCGCCACCGAAGGGACGAATGTGATGTGATATATTCCTTTTAGTGCCTCCGGATGGGCCAAGAGACACCGCTCCCGTGTCGGCAGAATGGCAGCCGGAAGACACCCCGTGGTGGGACAGAATGGCCCTTCAGCTCTTGATCAAGAACAATAATGTGCCCTGTTGTGCTCTTCTCAAGGGAACCGTTTCCCGAAAAGAAATAAGAGGTATCACCAGTGTTGAACAAAATTGGTTGAAGTCAGCTCAAACGAACAAAGCCATTCCATGCTTGCCTGAGGAGTTCATCCTTTTCCAGAGTCGATTAGTGAAATAAATTTCATCAAGATGCTGAGCCTACGCGTCCGCAATTTTGGGAGCAAGAACAGTGATGGCCCGCGTTGCAGCCTCCGCAGAACCGAACGGCGTTGGCACTGCAAGTAACACCAGACGGCGTTCGCCGCGTGCCAGAGAACGGCCGTCGTGAAATAATAGCCCCGAATATCTCAAAAGTAATTCGTACCGTTCAAAGGGGAGACTGGGCGTATCTTTTTACATTTTTGAGACTTCCCTCCGGACAAATTAACAGCTACAGCGAAACGAAAAAGAAAAATTCGACCTTTGCTCGTTCAGTTCCACCGCCAGATTCCAGCACCGCTTCGCTGTGCAGTAAAAGCCAATTTGTTTATATCATCAATCTAAAAATCGCCCAGGTGGAATATACGCCCAGAGAACCTTCGAATACACGAAGCGCACAGCGATGCGTCTTTAAGGTGCGTTATCACGTTCGTCTACCCGTTAACCACGGCTTAGTATTAGCCGTGGGACGAACGCTGTGTGGCCAACGAAAGCTGCAATGCCTGGCTTCGAGGTTTTTTGTTGCTTGGATTTGCTTTCGAGCGCGCATGCTCACGACCACGCTACACAGTCTATAGCAGTTATCGGTTCTGTGTCAATGTTGAACATTTTTAGACAGACATGGCTTCACCATGCTAATACAAACTGTTGACCCATTTCCATCTACAATCTACATTCGTGTGATCCCTAATATCTCTGTGCAACCCAAATAAAAAGGTGACAAAGGTTCTGAGCTCTATTGGTTGAGTTCTTAGAAGAGTCCGTTGGACTATTGTAGGATAAAGAACGCCGGAGATTTATTTCATGCAGTCGTTTAAAAATGATTTTGCCAGTTTATTGACTTTAAGGCATTAGGCAAAATTCGTCTCACAGTAGCTTTCGGCATCTCTTCTAGTACAAAAGGTAAAAATGCAAAATATGGAGCAAAACCATGCCCTCATTGCCAAAGGGACTATATCCGGCGATTTTTTTTTGGAGGGGGACCCTTTTACTGTCAGGGGCCCCTCGTTAACCCTGTGTCCCTCCTCCCTCCTTGCCAAGGTTCTGGGCTGCATGCCTGCGGGGGACCCAGCCTCTTGTCGCCAGAATGGCAGCTGGCTGGCATTCCGCGCTAGGACGAAATGGCCCTGAATGCTTTTGATCGGAAATGATAAAATGATCCCCTCCCTCCACTGTTCTACCCACGCAGCCCCTTGCCCGCGATAAGGTAAGGAGTATCTCAGTGTTGAAAAGAGTGGATTAAAATGGGCTCAGTAACGAAAAAGGCCAATCCAGGTTCGAATGAGTACGTCTATCATTTTGCAGAATGGAATTGTGAAACAAATTGCATGACACAGTTTTCAGCTCCACGCTCACAATCGATTAATACTGCATCACGATTAGTATTAAAGATCGGGGTTGCAGCGTCCGCCAAACCGAGCGGAATTGCCCGCAGCTAACACCAGGCGGCGGGCGCCAGGCGCGCGGAATGATCGTCGTGAAATAGCGATTGTGAAATAGTTTCAAAATAAGTTCTTGTCTTTTAAGCATAACACTTGGCGCTTATTTCGCATCTATAATTTAGTTGTCCTGCGAATAGGGTGACAGAAACGAAACCATAAAAATCAAGACTTTATCTTCATTTCTCCAGTTCCACCACCAGATGCCAGTACCAGTTCGCGATGCCGTTTCTGTCACCAATCTAAAGATCTCAAAGATCACGCTCGGACTTCGCTCTAGACGTTCTTGATGGTGATGGTTTGGGGTTTTAGGGCGCATCGACTGCTGTAGGTTATGCAGCGCCCATATCTATCAATTTGTGCAGAGCCGTCAATCAGAAAAGTGCATCAATTAGGTCACCCTATAAAGCCTTGATGAATGGTCCATGATAAAAAGCCATCATGATGAAAAGACTATTGGGAAATCCATAGCGCGAAGAAACTGGAGCAAGTTACCAAACTCGACGGCGTGCGAAGAATCCCCTAAAAAGTCACATAGCGTGCGACTCTGGGCGTGGTGTCCGAAAAACTGCGCTCTCGTCGCTGTAAGGTGACGGCAAGCGACCAGTACGTGATGCACGGTCAGCGGGTCAGAGCATCGACTGCGGCATGGTCTGTTGGCAGCCAATAGCAGGTGACGGTGCGTAGCATATGTGTGACCTACGCATAACCAGCAAAGGGCATTTTCTTCCACCCGATTGTCCCGAAAGCACGACTGCCATAGTCCAATACGGGGTTTCACGGACTGCAGTTTATTGTCGCCCAGCGAGTTCCAGTGAAACTGCCATCGCCTCTGCATAAACAACGACACTGGTAGTGGTGTTATAGGAGTTCTAGTCCCTGCCGTAGCGCGGTTTGCTTCCGCGTCAGCAAGATCATTTCCGCATATCCCCACGTGACTTGGGATCCAGCACAGAACAGCCGTTTTTCCTGCTCGATCCAGTGAGCCAAGACGCGACTGAATGTCCTGGACCGGTGGATTGGACGGGAAGAGACCGCCAACAGCCAGGAGGCTGCTGAAGGAGTCGGAAAGAATCACATGCAACTTGCTATCGTCCACTTCAATAAAACAGAGAGCTTTGTTGATGGCTCTAAGCTCGGAGGTGAAGACCAACGCGTGTGAAGGCAGTGTGAATGACCGTGTTGTGGGTCCACACACAAAAGCGCACCCTACACCTGCATCCGTCTTCGAACCATCCGTATAAGTCATCATGTACCCGTCAAAAGAGACTATATGTTCTAAGGCTGCCTATTTAAGTTTTGTCATTAGAACGCGTTGCTTTTGCATGTTTGATAACGAAACATCCGCTCTTGGCGGTGCTAGCTTCCAAGGAGCAGTCATCGTGGGTTTAGGTCTGATGACACGTCGTAGTTTGAGGCCGCTCGCGTCTAAAGCTTCTCTCATTCGTACACAAAAGGGGAAAGTTTGTGGAGACCGTTGACGTAGAAAAAGCCTTCGTAAGCTACGCGAAAACACTGCTTTGTAGGTGGGATAATCTGGGAACCGCGCTAGCTTGCATGTGTAGCGCAATCCCAGCATCTTCCTTCGCAAAGCTAGTGGGGGCTTGTGAGTCTCCACCAGAAGACTACCTATGGGCGATGTCCGAAAAGCTCCCGTGGCGATGCGTAGTGCAGCGTGATGTACCGTGTTCAAAGTATGTTCATCAGGACTGATGAACTGTCTTAGATAAAACAGCCGTAGTCAAGTTTTGAACGAATCAGGGAGCGGTATAGGAGTAAGAGTGTCCTCCTATCAGCACCGTATGACGCACGTCCCACGCACCTTAGGATGTTGAGAGATTTTAAACATTTGTCGCGGAGATTTCTTATGTGCTCACGGTATGTTAGGCGTCGGTCAAATCGTATACCGAGAAATTTCACGGTACTGTCATTGGCGACGCGTTGCCCATACAGCCTGATTTCCATATCAGGACAGTGACGGCGACGACAGAAATAGACTGCAGTTGTCTTCGATGTGGGAAACCGGAAACCGTTGAGCACACTCCACTTCTCCAGACGTGTGACAGCCCAGCTGTAGCTGTCGCTCCATCGTGCGAGCGGTCGATGCGCTACACCAAATAGCGAAGTCGTCTACGAACAGAGTACTTCTGATCCCACGTGGAAGTCCAAGAGAGCCGCACATTCACCATTTTTTCCATGAGCTTACAAAGCGAAGATGTGAGGGCGATCGGGCGTTTGTCCCACTTTTCCTGGGTTTTAAAATAGGCACTACTATGGCCTCTCGCCGTTGGCGGGAAGTTACTTGACTCCCATATACGAATGAAAAGTGCCAGCAACGCTCGTAGCACACGGGGAGGAAAATGCCGTACCATATCATTGTGGATGAGGTCGGGCCCCTCCGCTACACTACGCAGCGAGCGAATGGCCGCTTGAAGTTCCATCGTAGTGAAATGTTTGTTGTACGTCAGG